ATAATCGACAAAGTGAATTTGCAACGTGCCAAGACATTTCTGCATTGAAAAGCCTCCGGCCAGAGTGTTTCCGCTCTGCGTATGCAGCTCCGATGTGTTTTCAGATTGCGCTTCTCGGTATAATGTCTACCTACGTGACTTTACCGAAAGAACCAAAGAGTAAGAGATATCCCATTTGTATCTCTGTGATATCTGTCTGCTTATATGTATGTCTATGTTTCTGGTTCTGTGTTTAATCTCTCTCTCAAATTTAGCATTCTCAGGAAGAACGTAATCAACCAGATAGGGTGTTGACTGTTATGTTATCCGACTCTCTGTTGTATTACATTACATTTCTAAGTATACTAGATTTGTGTTCCTATTTAATTTATACCTGATGATGATTGCTTGTGTTGCAATCGAAACGTCGTATGCTAGTATTTCATTTAATTTATTATTTTATCTTTATACGTGACTTTACCGAATGAACCAAATCATAATTTCTGCAGTCACGAAAGCTCCAAATTAAGTTTCATTCATTAGTCCCCAACCACTCCGCACGTGAAGGGCTCCCAAGTGACGTCATCACAGCTACCCGTTCTATTTAAGGGAACGAATCAGGAGGATTTACCCACAAATCTGGCTGTCCGCCTGATGAAGCTAGTTGTAATTACTGGCGAAACGTCGTACTCGGATTGTAAATGTTGTGGATTTACTCTCCAACACACCGGTGTGTTGCTGTACGAGTAACGAATTGGCCACGTTCTGTTTACGTGACGAACCTTGCTAATTGAATGATCAGAGTTTGTTTGTATGCTCACCACAGGTATGCGTGGTTAATGGAGACTTGATTCTTTGCCAGAAAGGGTAAACACCTATTATTATATTATTTTTAGTACTTTGATATTTTGCATGAAGGTCCCATGATATGATCGGCGGTGTAAGAGCACCCTCCGGTGTACGCAATGGGTATGACAGCTAAATCTTCACTTAAAGCTTTCGTGACCGCAGGAATTCACGTTCTTTGGGTCTTTCGGTAAAGTCACGTAGAGAGCATCTACATCATGAGGCCTCCTTTGCCAGTATCAAAATATAACAATAATAAGGTTTTCCCCTTTTTCTGGTGACAAAACTGGAATCATCAGAGTGTTGTTTTTTGTTTGCATTCTGACTGCAAGTATTGTGGTTAATGGAAACATGATTCCTGGCAAAAGGTTTCATTTTTTGTGGCCAGAAAAAAGGGGAAAATCCCTATTATCACGTAGATAGGTTAAATGAATAAAAATAATAAACATAAAATAAACAAAAATATTACGACGTTTCGATCACAACACAAGCGATCGTCATTAGGATGAAAGAGGAGGGGGGGGGGGTGGAGCTGCTGATTGACAGCTGTTCCGCACACGAACGGAACGGTGGGTTCCTCGTGAACAACCGACACGGGTCGTTGGGGTCAGTGTGGTTAGCGAGCACCCATCAGGGCCGGCAGCCGCGGTTAGACGTGGAGCGTGGGGTGTGGACGTCACCACGGCCGCCCGTTCCGGACCCGACGTGGACATCTGTGAAAAAGAACTCATCGGATTCATCCTGCATTCTGATTCTGACGATTCTCCGGTGCTGATGTTTGCACAACTGCGTGAGCAGAACCAATAGGCGGCCGAGGAACCTTTTTGTCAGAATCAGAATCTTTATTTAGACTGCAGGAGGAATCCGATGAGATATTAAGCTCCTTTTCACAAATGTACAGTGGGGGCGGCACGGCAAGTTACAACCCAAAGCGCTGGCCTATCTATGTTACTGCTGACTTTGACCAGGCCAATAAAGCACGTATGTAGGTTATGTTGAAATGTACTACACCTCTGCTATCACAGGCAGACGCGATACAATTGAGCATCTATGCAGGACCGCCCCTGCCTGAAATCACAATGGGGCTCCGCAAGCCTCTCCTCGGCGTGCCTGGAAAGGCAATGTTGAAAAATCCTTGTCAGGACCTTTCCCATCTCACTGACGAGGGAGATACCCTGATGACAGTGCGGGTCCCCCTTCTTAAAGAGGGGGACAGACAGCTAACAGCCACGTGTGCTCATACACGCACACAATACACGAACACAGACAGGTACACATGCACAAAGCCACACGGACACACGCACAAAGACAAAGATCCCGCCATATCTCCTTAGCAGACTAACACTTAGGCTTTCGCGACCAAACATTATTCATAATAAAGGTTTTTGGGTTAGATCGCGTAAGTATAAATGTGTCGTAACACTTCACTACCCGGCACAGCCAGTAAGGTTTGTCACGTAGACACCGTGGATTGCTTCACTATTCTGGCAAACGATGCTGGATGCAATTACCAGCGGAATGTCGTACGACTCAAGATGTAAATGTTGTGGATTTACTCTCCAACACACCGGCGGGCTGAAGCAGTAAACTAATTGGCGCGTTGTTTACGTGACAAACCTCACTGGCCGTCAGTTTAACAGGTAGGCTTTCGCAACCAATGTTATTCATAATCAACGTTTTTGGGTTTAGATCGCGTTATTTATAAATGTGTCGTAACCCTCCACCACCCGACACGGCCAATCAGTAAAAAAGTGTCACGTTGACAAAAGACAAATAGTTCACTGCTTTAGCCCACCGGTGTGTTGAAGCCACAACATTTACAATTTGAGTACGACGTTTCGCTGGTAATTGCATCCAGCATCATCGGGCAATTCGCCGATGGGCTAAAGCAGTGAACTATTTGTCTTTTGTCAACGTGACACTTTTTTACTGATTGGCCGTGTCAGGTGGTGGAGGGTTACGACACATTTATAAATAACGCGATCTAAACCCAAAAACGTTGATTATGACTCACTGGCCGTGTCGGGTGGTGGAGGTTTACGACACATTTAACATCTTTATTATGAATCCTTAACAGACTGTTGGGGCAAGTGCTGTTAGCATCTGCCAGTCATCATCGTCAACCGCATGGCACCTGTGCCCGACAAGTAATCGCATGCCAAGCGATTAATCGACACTTCACACGGCCTTCCATTGCACCTCGGCTGGCGCAAGACCGGCGGTGACGTCCCTTCCGCGTGGTGGCGAGTGGGTTGTCTGTTGTTTGGAGTGCTGTGTTCAAGTATGTGGGTGTGGGGGTGTGTAAATAGTGACACTAAGATGAACCTCAGATTGGATCATTGCTTAGAGGTGCACTTGCCAATGGTCCAGGAAGGGAGATAAAGCGTGCTGCTTGCGTAGGCATGCACCAAATAGACTGATAATGTCTGTCATAGCCTTTGGACTGGGTGAGACCATTAGCTAGGTTTTTGTTGTCAAAGTCAATTTATACAATCTAGATTTGAAGTTTTCGTGACTGCAGGGATCCAAACTCTTTGGTTCTTTCGGTAAAATCACGTAGATAGAAGATTAATAGATCACGACGTTTCGATCGCAACACAAGCAATCATCCTGCTGTGTTTGCTTCACCTGATGACGGTTGCTTGTGTTGCGATGGAAACGTCGTGATCAATTAATTTTCTATTCACTTTATACAATGTTCCAATTTAGATTTGAAGCTTTCGTGACCGCAGGGATACATTCTCTTTGGATCTTTCGGTAAAGTCACGTAGGTAGAAATTAAAAGAAATGAAATTACGACAGTTTCGATTGCAACACAAGCAATCATCATCAGGTAGGAAAACCACAGCAATAATGTTTTTTGTTGCTGAAATGGGAGAGAGATAACGTGGTAAGAGGTTATAACCTCTTCAACAAAAAATGTTCTTGCTGTGATTTTCCCACCTGATGATGATTGCCTGTGTTGCAATCGCAACTGTCGTGATTGAATTCATTGTATTTTATACCTACGTGACTTTACCGAAAGAACCAAAGAATGTTCCAATTGTGTTGTCACGAGGCCAAGAATGTCTTTTTTCCCGTTTTTGAATATTGGCAGCGATAGATCTCGGGAACCGGTGGCACAGCTGCCTTCAGGAGACTTTGAACGTACGTTTTCGTAACCACTGCGACGCGTCCGTAGACTTTTTTAGGGTTGTGCTACGTGGCGGTGATAATTGTATGATAACATTATTGTCAATAACCCTCCACCACCCGACAATAAAGTCACGTCTACACAGATAGTATAATTATTATTATTTATCCGTCGTCTTCTGTTTCTCTCGTACAGCTGGTGTAGATGCAGAGCAGCAACTACAATTTCATATTTTTCGATTTAAAGCTTTCGTGACTGCAGGGATTCATCTTCTTGTTTTTTTCGGTAAAGTCACGTGACGGTTCCACCTGAAGACGGAAGCTTGTGTTGCCTCCGAAACGTCGTGATTTTTATTTTACTTTTATTAATTTTAATGTTTTACCTACGTGACTTTACCGAAAAAAAACCTAAGAACACAATTTCATATTAAAGTGGTCATACCCAGACAAACGTGTCAGGAGTTCGCGGAAGGTATCATCGCTGCGATGTCTCCTTCGGTTTTGCGGATCGGGCATTGCGTCGTCTAACGTTGTACGGTCTGCTCTGGATGACCACAGTCGCACACGACTACTGGAGAGTTTAACCACGTTCCATTCGTGCATCGGGTATCCGCATCTGCCATGCTTTGTGCGGATGCGATAAATACGCGCCGATGTATTGATCAAATTCTGACCGATCGGGACGGCCAAATTCACACCTTTCAACCGTTTGAGTCGAAAACAAATCGGCCGCACACTCAGTTATCTCGAGCAGGCGGCATTTGCGAGCCATTGCCCGCGGCGATGTCCAACATTTGTGCATTGCTCGACCGAGATTCTGGACGCGACTCAACGAGCAATCCACTTTACGTCGACAGAAAACTAACATTGCCTGAACAGTTAATCCGGAGGTAGTCAACGCAAGTTGTTGTCCCGTTTTGATTCCGCCGAAGGCAAGGGATGCATCTGACCTTTGATTTGCCGTCAGCATTCGCGTTTACGACGAGAGCAAACATAAAATAAAATAAAAAGCCACAGCGCATCCAAAGGTCACTGCCGAGGTACGACCGCTCCCTGTCAAGCGCCAGACACCCGAGTCCCTTGCTCCGAACGGGCGGCAAAGCGAGTCGCCTGCAACCCCAAGGCAACGATGCGACTCAACTCGCCGAACGGGCGACTGCTGCTATGGGTCGCGTGTGTATGCGGCGCCGTGGGTGAGTGCCGTTCCATCGACACCCATGTAGTTGCGCGGAACCCGATTCCTTACCGAGGGCCGAACAAGATTTTGAAATTACAGGTAACGAGCGGTGTTCGTGCGCTACAACGCGTTCTCGCCACAACGCGGTACTTTCATTCGGGAATAGTTTTAGAACAACGCAAAAAACACGCGCGCCCGTTATAACGCGGGACGCGCGCTTTTATAACGCGGTTTCTGAGCGGTCGACGACGGACTACTTTCTTGAGTCGCGCAGCTGAGCGGAGTGATACAGTACGCGGAATGATACGGTGACGCGGTGGAGTGCCCTCAGTTCTTCACCCCGCCAGCGGCTGACTTGCAGGCTGATTTTAAAGTGCGACTGTGATTCAGTAACTCAGTAATTCCTCGCTGAACGCGGCTTCGCTTAACCACCGCGGCACTATTCAGGAACGCATCACGCGCGTTAAACGAGGAATTACTGTCACTCTTGATCTGAAGCTTTCGTGACTGCAGGAATCCATACTCTTTGGTTATTTCGGTAAAGTCACGTAGGTAGAAAATAAAATAAATCACGACGTTTCGATCGCAACACAAGCGGTCGTTGCGACTCGATCAGGGGAGCCTTCTTCTCTCGCAGTCTCTTCAAAGCTCTAACAGATGTGTGGAAACCCTCCCCGTAGAGGCGGTTCAATCTTGATTTGAAGCTTTCGTGATTGCAGGAATAATTACTGTCACCTTTGTGGGGGGGGGCCACACGTGATGAACACACACGCACTCGCGCCGAGAGGCACCGTCACAATGACAGACGTGACCGTGCGTGCTAATCATCTGAGACGCAGTGTTGCTGCCAAGTTTAAACTACGAAACACCTCCAGTCGCCGATTTGGCGCGGCGAAGACACGTGCAGCGATGCCATCGATGTTTGCGTGCGCTTTTGAAGGCGGCAGGCCTCTCGTACCGATTGGACAACTTTTTTTTTATTTGATTCAAGACACGATTGTTTATGTCCTGTTGTTGTTGCCATACCATTTGCGTTGTTCTGCTTGCTCCGTAAACCTACAGCCGAACACGAGCATCGAATTTGCAGGGCATTATCCACACGTTCAAAAACCACTGATGATCGTTACGTACGATTCGATGCGCGGTGTGATCGTCATCGTTCAGGATATTCATTGACCCGATTTTTTCCAAGGGAACGTCGGTAAAGGCGCTGCCCTGCAATTTCTTGTTCGAGCCACTGCTGGTGTACACATACGCTTGCCAAACATGTCCAACGGTTACACAGGTCCAGGAGCCGGTACTGGTGAGCTGCGGCGAGCTTATGTGTGTGTGTGAGCGAGTTGTGTGGTGAGTCTGATATATTCGTGTTGTTGAGCCATGTGGTGAGGAGTAAGTAGTGGTGTTGGTGAGCATAGTCTAGCTTACAAATTCATAATAATTTACATTTCTAACTATAGGTTTTACCATTTCTGACTCCGCATGTGTGCGCGTGTGCGGGGAGTGGTGGCACAGCGGTTAGCGCGCTGCACTAAGGAAACCAGCGTTCCGAGTTTGACTCCCGCTCACAGCCAAAACATCGGTGGGGGAACTTTCCCATTGTCTGTGTACAACAATTCACGTCGCCCACCACTCCAACAGAAGTTTAAATATCAGAAAAGGCTTTACCCTTTCCAGAAATAAAACAGCTGTGTTAAGATGTTTAAACACCAAACTGAAACCTTTTGCAAGGAATCCTATCTGCTGTTCGCCTTTTGGCGTCCTCTGGTCTAACACTGGTTGAGACTTGGCTCTAAAGAAAGCTGTATCTGGTGTGGACCAATGAGTTTAAAAAGCAACGCATCATGTACTACGAGCGCATCTTTTTTTTGCATGTTCACCACGAGTATTTGTGGTTAACGCAGACATGATTCGTTGCCAAAGATTTCAGTTTGGTGTTTTAACATCTTAACACAACTGTGCTATTGCCAGAATGGGTAAAACTTATTCTTTTATTTCTATACTGGCAAGGGAGGTCTCATGAAGAAGTCCAATTCTTGACCGCAACCACCATTGATTGGAATTATCTTACTGATTGGTCCACATCCGTTTCAAAGACAATGCATATTTTATCAGAGCATGTTTTTGTTGGCATATTTTTATTATTTTGTATTTCATTTTTTACCTACGTGAATTTACCGAAAGAACTAAGAGTACAAGTATATGTGCTTAATGTACTCAGGATTCCTTGAAAAAGGATTCTATTTGGTGTCGTAACACCTTGACACAAATGTTTTATTCCCAGAAAGTGTAAAACCTATTGTAATATTTTGATACTAGCAAGAGAGGTTCCACAATTTACATCTACTTGGACGGTGCCTTGGGCTGGTGTCTCAAGGCGCCTTGTAAGATTAAGGATGAGCAAAGACCAAGGCGGAAGGAGACGCTAAGAGGGATAAACCGACGTAAGAAAATGCGTCACCCTGAGACTGGGATGTTTATCGATTGATGACGATTCTTTTCTATGTGAAGACTTATCACCGTTATCTGTATTATAATTTTTGTTAAACTCGTGTAAAGCTAGCAACTGAATATGTCTGCATCTTTCTCTTTTCCAGTATCAGCAACGACGAGCACCAACACATCGACATCTGCACCAACCACGGAAGCCACAACCAATACCTTTGTTACAAGCTCACAGATCACCACACCCACAGCACGTTCACCTGGCAGCTCCACCAACAACCCCACATCAAGCATCACCACCACCACCACTTTGACCACCACAGTGGTTAAGCCCACATCCGCTAGCTCTCCCCCTACCACCACCACCACTACGGGCACAACCAAAACCACCACTGGCCCATCTAAGACCACCACTGGCCCATCTAAGACCACCACTGGCACAACCTCTACGAGCAGCACCGTGACCTCGACGACGCAGAACTCCAGCCAGGAGGACCACATGCACGTGCCACTCAACGGAGGTAACGTCTCGACCGCGGACTCGCAAACACGTGCCGCTCGCGTGTGGCGGAGAGCTGGGGAGGCAGATTCATACACAACGTGATTACTCACTCTCTCATGTCACTACGTCATATCACACATACACACACACACACGTGCATAGATCACCTTCATACGCACGTGCCATCACCGCACACACCCCCTGGGACATGGCCACTGGGAGATGTGAACTACCTCGCCTGGTATACAGAAGTTCGTGGGTTAGATTCCAACCCTGACGTCTGCTGTATATTTGGAGTTTGCATGTATCTCTCTGACTCTCTCTCTCTCATCATCATGACGATGGCTAGGAGATGTTAACTACGTCGCCTGGTATACAGGAGGTCGTGGGTTCGATCCCGACCCTGACGACTGTTGTATATTTGGAGTGTGCCTCTCTCTCTCTCTTTATCTCCCCCCGTGGTCGCGTGGATTTTTCTCCGGGTCCTCCGATTTTTTCCCCCTCCACATTTATAATGAACGTCCGTTCAGAGTATTTGGCGACTGCTATAAATTTCGACACGAAATGTCACTTTCCTGAGCTATCATTTGTGGCGAGGTCGCTTCTGAAAATGAACTACGTAGCTCAATGGGCTTTACCTGCTAAAATAAACCTAAAAATACGAGTGTGGGGTAGTGTTTATTAGTGAGTCAGTTGACTAGTTGACTGGGGTTATGGGTGGTGTTTAGAATCGGTGATGGGTTGTCGAGCTTATTAGAGATTAAGGATAGTGGCTTGATGTACAGCGAATGTTTAGTGAGAGGACTAATGGCTGGGTGGCTAGTTGGTCAGGGTAGGGTCAGTGAGATGACTAGGACTAGTGGCTGGTTAGGCAGAGGACCATCATTTGATTATAATTATCTAAAGGGGGCGTGTATACGTGTGTGGGGAGCAGTAACGCAGAGGTGAGTTAGTTGTGCTCTGAACCTGGCAACCCGAGTTCGATTCCTGCCCACGGCCAACACCAGCAAGTGACGATTATCCGAACCGATCCTGGGCCTCCCCCTAGGTTAACAAAACCTCAAATGAGTACCTGGTGCGGTGTGTACAGCATTAGTAAACATCGCCACTCAGGAGAGAAAGGGGCCGTCCATAAATGACGTCAAGCACCTGGGGGGGGGGGGGGGCGGTGGGGTCAGACATGTGTGACGAGGGGGGGGGGGGTTTGAGAAATGTGACGTCACATCAAAATGCGCAACTTTAAATAAATATGGACAACACGTTCTACTTAATTAAATAGACGTTTTAATCAATGTTTATCTTACAACATCAGAGTGCAGCACCACGTTATATACGCACTACAATGACAATAGTTTAAAGCGATTTGAAGCATGTTTTATTTTTTTATGGGGGGGGGGGGGGGGTGCAGAGCTTTGTGAAGTCATATTTAAGGGTGGGGTCTGACTTTTTGTGACGCCGTGTGACGAATGGGGGGGGGGTCAAAAATCGTCTAAAATCGCGTGACGTCATTTATGGACGGCCCCAAAGGTGGTCGGGCGTGGTGTTGGCCACCCACGCCCCTCGTTTACCGTGCCGGCCCTTCGCGGGTGCGGCTCACTCAAGTTCAAGTTCATTTATTAGGTATAGCCCTGTGAGCCATTCGGCTCTTGAATCGGGTGCAACCGCAACAAACAAAAAACAAAAACATGAACAAGAATACATCTTAAAGTGACTATGTAACTGAGTGCAAACAGAAAATCCAAGAAAAGACAGCAAAATATTGCAGAAAAAAACCGCACACCAAATTCCAGTGGGATGCAAGTCAAACAACAACAACAACAACCACAAGACAACTTAGATTAAGGCCATCAGTCTTACTCCGTGCTACAACAAACAAACATGGCCAAACCAAAAAACTTTTCGAAATCATCAAAGTAAAGCCATGAAAGCAATGAAACAGCGATCATAGGCACTGGCGGAATTTTCACAGTAAATAACATAAACAAGTTGCCCCAAAAGTCTGTTAAGCAGAGGTCGCAAACGGGTTTTGATTCCTTACCCGTACCCGTACCCGGCCGCACCAGGGTCGCAAACGGGTACCCGTACCCGGCCGGGTACAGGAACGCGTACGCTACCCGTACCCTACCCGAAATGAGTGACAAACGGTTACTCACCGGTGACTCACGGCCTACCCGTACCCGGCCGCACCAGGTATCGGGTAGGGTACGGGTATCGGGTACCCGGTTGCGACCTCTGCTGTTAAGCCTCCACAGGGGATCTTCGTCTTTGTGTTTAGTGACGCACGCGCACTCGTGTTTTCCTCCTCCTCCAGGCCAGGTGGCCTCCATCGTGACCGTGTGTCTCCTGGTGGTGGCGCTCCTCGTCACCCTGGGGCTCATGTACCACGAGCACTGCCGGTGAGAGCCCATAGGACACCCCACAGGAACACCCTCTAGGAAACTCCTACAGAAAGCACTATAGGAGACCCCACAGGAAAACTCTCTAGGAAACTCCTACAGAAAGCACTATAGGAGACCCCATAGGAAACTCCTACAGAATGCACTATAGGAGACCCCATAGGAACACCCTCTAGGAAACTCCTACAAAGAGCACTATAGGAGACCCCATAGGAAGACTCTCTAGGAAACTCCTACAGAAAGCACTATAGGAGACCCCACAGGAACACTCTTTAGGAAACTCCTACAGAAAGCACCATAGGAGACCCCAAAGGAAAACCCTCTAGAAAACTCCTACAGATATGACTATAGGAGACCCCATAGGAAAACCCTCTAGGAAACTCCTACAGATATGACTATAGGAGACCCCATAGGAACACCCTCTAGGAAACTCCTACAGAATGCACTATAGGAGACCCCATAGGAAAACCCTCTAGGAAACTCCTACAGAAAGCACTATAGGAAACCCCATAGGGAAACTCTCTAGGAAACTCCTACAGAAAGCACTATAGGACACCCCATAGGAAACTCTTACAGAAAGCACTATAGGAGACCCGATAGGAAGACTCTCTAGGAAACTCCTACAGAAAGCACTATAGGAGACCCCACAGGAACACTCTTTAGGAAACTCCTACAGAAAGCACTATAGGAGACCCCATAGGAAAACCCTCTAGGAAACTCCTACAGATATGACTATAGGAGACCCCATAGGAAAACCCTCTAGGAAACTCCTACAGATATGACTATAGGAAACCCCATAGGAACACCCTCTAGGAAACTCCTACAGAATGCACTATAGGAGACCCCATAGGAAAACCCTCTAGAAAACTCCTACAGAAAGCACTATAGGAAACCCCATAGGGAAACTCTCTAGGAAACTCCTACAGAAAGCACTATAGGAGACCCCATAGGAAGACTCTCTAGGAAACTCCTACAGAAAGCACTATAGGAAACCCCATAGGAAAACCCTCTAGGAAACTCCTCCAGAATGCACTATAGGAGACCCCATAGGAACACCCTCTAGGAAACTCCTACAGAAAGCACTATAGGAGACTCCATAGGAACATTTTCTAGGAAACTCCTACAGAATGCATTATAGGAGACTCCATAGGAACACTTTCTAGGAAACCCTTTTTGATTTATCAGAGTAAACCCTACAGAAAGCACGATAGGAGACCCTATACGAACACTCCCGAGGAAACCCCATTATTGAAAAACCTTCGTAGAAAATTCCAATAGATAACCTTCACAAAACCCTATGAGAACCTACAAGAGACCTTACAGAAAAAAGCCCATGAAGAAGAGGCAGACCGACACACAAACCTGCCTACAGGAACTCAAATTCGCGACTACTTCAGACCGCGCCCGCCCCCTAGCGCTTTCGTGAGTGCCTTGCTTCTGTAAACACGATGCGAATACCAAATGTATCAATGATGCGATTCGATCCGTGCGTGTCTGTGTGCGCGGGTTTGTGTGTGGGTCTGTGTCTGTATGCGTGGGCTTGTGTGTGGGTCTGTCTGCGTGTGCGGTGTTTGTGTATGTGTCTGGCTGTGTGTGCGGTGTTTGTGTGTGTGTCTGTCTGTGTGTGCGGGTTTGTGTGTGGGTCTGTCTGCTTGTTCGCGTGCATGTTTGTGGGTCTGTCTGTGTGTTTGTGGGTCTGCTTGTGTGTTCACGTGTATTTGTGGGTCTGTTTGTGTGTTCACGTGTGTGTTGGCGCGTCTGTTTGTGTGCGCGCGTGTGTTTGTGGGTCTGTCTGTGTATTTGTGGGTATGTTTGTGTGTTCACGTGTGTGTTGGCGCGTCTGTCTGTGTGTTGTGGGTCTGTTTGTGTGCGCACGTGTATTTGTGGGTATGTTTGTGTGTTCACGTGTGTGTTTGTGGATCTGTCTGTGTGTTTGTGGGTATGTTTGCGTGTTCACGTGTGTTGGCGGGTCTGTCTGTGTGTTTGTGGGTATGTTTGTGTGTTCACGTGTGTGTTGGCGCGTCTCTCTGTGTGTGCGCGCGCGTGCGTTTAGACGAAGGGTATACGCCCAGCCAAACCAGGCGTTTGACGGCTCCGTCCTCGACATCGGAAGCTATGAAAATCCGCTGTACGAGAACGACTTAAGATGAAGCCTCCTCCGACACCCCGCGCTCGTCCACTCATCAGGGGGTCCAACTCATCACGCGTCACGGTTTGGGGTCATCAGCCCCTGTAGCAGAAGCTATGGTCCCAGGCTGTAACGCATTTCCCGGCTGTACAAGTTGTTGCTATGTTGCCCGAATAAGCGACATCTATTTGGAGATAACCAAAAAGATATCTTATTGGACCGGTGTGCGATGTGTCTTCGGGTTGTGCCGCGTTTTTTTTTGACGATGTCCGACGTTTTGCTCCGAGTGCTGGGAAGCTTCTTCACGGCCAGTTCTTCTTCAACCATCCGCTTCTTCTCTCGGGCACGTGCAGCGAAACGTCGGACGTCGAGCAACATCAACGGGCTGCAGTTGCACTTGCACTGATCAAATCAAACGAGGCGCTCGCTACCCCTCCTCATCAACCGACACAGGAATCCCATTGAGCTGGCTGTGTGTGGTGTGGGGGGGAAGCACGTGGCAGTGAATCAGCACCCACGAGAGGCTTGGGTTTGAATCGGCGAAGAGGACAAATCGTGTTCTCTCAGTTGGGAGAGCGAGTGTCGTGGTCTCGGCCCGCGGGGGGTTGCCAATGACTGCACGTAAGACGGCGATTCGTGTTCTTGAATCGCTGCGTTGTCGCTGAGAAGCGGAATTGGTTTGATTGCCTCGCAGTGAGCACATCGGTGACAGGGCATGCGTGAGGTATAGCGCCGCCTGGGTGTGTGGATGAGAAGCGAAATGGAGCTCAGAATTAGTTCTGTGATGTCGTCGTCCGCAGGTCATTCGCAATAGAAGATTCGTGACATTGCCACGAGTACAACGCAGTCGGTGGGCAGGTCACGTTTGATGGGGTACTTCGACCTCTGCCAAGATGTGTGGCCTCGTGTGGAAGAGTAGGCCAAATTCCTTCTCGAGCCGAGGCCTTTCAGCCAGCAGTGGGGTGAACAAGCAATTGCAGGGCTGCGCATTTAACCGTTGTTTGTTAAATGTCAACATCATCATCACCACCATCAACAACCACCACCACCATCAACTACCACCACCATCCACTAACCACCACCAACCACCACCATCAACCACCACCAACCACCACCATCAACCACCACCACCAACCACCACCATCAACCACCACCAACCACGACCATCAACCACCAACCACCACCATCAACCACCACCAACCACCTTCAACCACAACCATCAACCACAACCACCACCAACCACCACCGAATGGGACAGATTTCCAATGCGGTGGCGTGGTGTGATTGTATCCGTGTCGTCCACATGTGAACTTTGGGTCCCGGTGTGGCCCCGGGGACAATTCAATAGAGAGTGTTAGTGTGTGCTTCTGGGGGGGGGGGGGGTGGAGAAAAATCCACAAACTTACGGAACAAAAAAAACCGTGCGCTGGTAACGGATGGGTGAGCGTGGTTTCAGGAGATCAAAAGGTTCAACCTCAACAGCGTCTCGCGTCAATGGGACACAACTTGAAACGACTGACCCAACCCCCCTTTGTGTGGCACGGCACGGTGGTGGGTCCATGTAACGCGGGTGAATTGTACGAGTCGCTGTTGTTGTAAATGAGTTCAGGACGGCTTCGTTTGGCCGTCGTTTAGGTGTGCAATGTTTGGAAGCATGTGACAAGGTCGTCATCATCGTCGTCATCGATAAGCCATCGATTGTCCATCGATTACAGTGATTCATCATTACCGATTATCTGTCGTAACCAATGCATCGGTTCAAATCGATTTATCGCGCTCACGGTACAAGCAGCGCATTGTTGTGTGGGCGAGGGGGGTCGATTATTTAACATTTACGCGACTTGTAATGACCCCGAGCAAAGACTGACCGATATCTCAGAACAGCAGCAGCTACCTATACAAAATAACGATTCCGGGAAATCCGGGACAGGTGGCAACCCTGCACCAAAGTATATTTGTGACTTAAATAAAACACATTATCTAAGGATGTTTAACCACGGAATAACAATGTTGACTTTTTTTTTTGGATAGTTGTTTTTATTACAACGCAAGTGACATTCAGGCGTGGTGAAACACGACTTGCGTGATCGCCACACAAACAGATACACGGCGTTCTGAAATGTACGGATGTCCTCGCATTGCTTAGTGCCTCTGATGATGATGATGTTCCAATTAACTTGTGATCGAATCCTTCCGGTGAACCCAGCCATCGTGGGCCAGGAGCCCAAGGAGTAAGCACGGGATTGGCCATCACGGCGTATAAATTGAGGCTTGCGAAACTGTTAAGTGATCGTGGAGACGATTGGGACGATGGGATTCGAGGACTTGCTGATGAGCAAGATCCCGAATCATTCCTACAAACTGCATTTTGGAAGTGTTCCATCGCATCTTCCTACAAAGTTCCCGAGAGCAATTCGAGTCACATATTCTGCGCAAAATATGTGTTCTTTAGACTTGAACAGCAACTTTGAGTGAAATACATTGATTGTGTGAAGGCGATTGTGTCCAGGCTGCTCGCGGCAAAGTGACACGATGCAATTGAACTGTCGAGAATTGAACGCGAGGTGGATTTTAAACTAATAATAATCATATTAATATTTTGTTGATCCTGAATGTAATGATTGTGGTCATGTAAATAAAATGTCTTCGGACCAAATATATATATATATTCCTATATGTAAGCATGCTCAATCTTTATAAATATTAATCTTGAAATATATGCTGCTGATGTCTACGAAATACATTTGATGACATCAGACAAGGAAAACGTTTGTCAACTTTAAAGCGCCCGAACTCACATATTTCTGTAACTAAATATCGCGGATTGCAGCAGTGGCGTGGGTGGCCATCTGAGCGCACTATGAACCCGGCTCGATCCGAGTTCAACTCCTAGGCCGTGGGCAACATCAGTGGCGAGCGATACCCGGAATGGTTTGCGGCTCACCCCTGCTCCCTTTCACCTTCTCCCGAATTGACCAGCATGGTGAAGTATCCACAATAGAGGTTTTTGGGTTAGTTAAAATGATAAAGTATGCTCTAACAACACACCCATGACGGATGCGGAGTGGGAAGGCCTTTATCCAGCATAGAAAATCATTCTACTACTCTAAATAGATACATATGTATGAGTTAGACGAGGTGTACTGTATAAATGTAAAAAAGTAAATGCACGCCAGTGATCTAATTCTAAAGAACTAAGCGAAAATGGACAATTGGTGTTCTCAACGAACTCGGGCTGACGATCAGTGAGGATTCAAATCATGCCTGGAGGTGACTTTCCTCACTGAGAGCCAAAGAGACGACGTTGAAATTCGTCGGACTTTGATTTTGCTTTTCATCAAATTGGTGACACCCCTGGGGTCGCTCTTGCGCATGAAACCCAGCGTGGATCTTTCGGGGTCTCACCCTGCTTCAACTAAAACTACGTTCATAAACAAAACTTTTACCAGGCAAGGCTATACAGCTCTTTTTTTCAGAAGCCACCTGGCAATCACCAATGACAGCTCAACGGAGTGGCTTATCGTCACGTGGAAATGTATAGCAGCAAGATTATCTCTCTAAACGCGCGATGTTGATTCTAAATGTGGTAGAGTAAAATCGGTAGGGCCCGGAGAAAAATCCACGTGGCCAAGGGGAGAACATGCAAACTCTAAAAATACAGTAGGCGTCAGATCGAACCCACGGACCTCCTATATACCAGGCGAGGTAGTTAACATCTCGCCACGTCTCGAGCGGGCTATCAGAGTGTGCGTCTTTGCCTCCATCGGGGAAGAGTGTGCGCCGATGTTGCGCTGCCGATATCCGGAGTGTGCGTTGGTGAGCGGCTGTGCCTACACCGAGCTCGCCAACGGCACTTGCTCCCCTCCCCCAACCAAAACAAATGTCTGTTGAGGCTATACGGGGGATCTTTGTCTTTGTCTACATCTAAGCTTCGAACGCAATGGCGATTAAATGAATTACACAGAGGCCAAGCAGATCTCCGTCGAGTTGGCGAAGGCCGGTTTGCGTCTTGACACCTCCACAAATCTCGCGGCGCCCCAGTTTAAAAGTCGGCTGACCAAAGCATTTCCACAGCTGCCCTGCTCTCTGCCGGGGTTCCTGCTGGTGCATGAAGATTTTTTTAAAACCAGGGGTCGACTCTTCGGGGAGACTACACGCCCATGGTTCATCCCGGGGGGAGGGGGGGGGGGGGTCGATAAAGCCACGAACACCACCGTTTGCGTGGGGAAGTCAACAGTGAGTGGATGTAATGAGCTCTCAGTCATAGGCTCGTGGAATTTACAACCAGTGGCTCAGGGCCGCCGATGAAAATGGGCCTCACTGAACGCTCGAAGTTGCAGGTGAAAGCGCAGCCCCTGCAAATGCTCGCTCACGCCACTGCTGGCAGAAGGACCTCCACCAGAGGGAGCTCTAGACAGCTCCTCCCGAGGCTGCTTTGGCCTACTCTTCCACGCCGTCCAAAGACGCCTTGGAAAAATGTGTGAGTACCCACACTTTACCCCACCGTACGCGACCTGCCGATCGACTATCTGCGGCGCAAACCACTCCGACTCATGCTGGGTGGACAGGGGCGGTAGGGACTGGGGATTTAAGAAGTTTGCCCAACTTGCCTGTTGTTCAAACCCGAGGGGTTAAAGGAGCAGCGTTCTTCGCTAATTTTCAGAGGGGGGACCACTTTCGCCGATAAGACATCACCAGTGTGAGGGGTGCTACACGTTTGAAACCATTGGGGGTTTGACAGCAGCACGGCGATGATGGTGGTGGTGGTGGGGGTGTTCTCAACATTCGTGAATTGTCGAGGGCCGCAAGTGAGGGGCCCGCACTAAAGGCCACCAGGGGCCTGCCAGTGGCCTGCCAGTGGCCTGCGGAAGCTGGCAATGAAGACCACTGGGCTAGCGTCTCTCTACCAGAGTGGGCGGTGTGTAGGAAAACGGTGGAGGAGGTGAATGGGGGGGGGGGGGGTCACACACAGGGGCTGGGCGAGGAGGCGAGCGGCACGCTGCAGCGGATCCCTCGCTCAGCTCGGCTTCAGCTCGCTCACGACTCGATCCACTCGCCGCCTGGACCCATCTTCTTTGCTGCGGCACAGCGACACGCAACGCCCGCAGTGACACTCTAAGCACGACTCGTTACTGCACACGGAGCAGACGTAATCAATGAACAATAACGACCTCGCGTTTCAAGACACAGTGTTTTTTAACGTACTTTTCGCACTGCTTTTTGTCCAGATTTGAAGTTTTTGTGACTGCAGGGATCCATACTCTTTGGTTCCGAAAAAAACAAAAAGTATGCTTTTGTCCGCGAGATTTTTTTGTGCGAGGCTTTGATCAACGTGGCTGGTTTTCTCGAGGGAACTTCACTAACAGCAACGCAACTTTCTTTTATCTGAGTTTCGCTCGCATTGTATCATCATTACGAGAGTTATCGTGAACCCCCCCCCACCCCTTCCACGTTATTGACAGAGGGCCAGACAGACGCAGGGACAGATGGACAGAGGCAGTTGCGAGATGTTATCTCTCTCGCCTGGTATACAGGAGGTCGTGGGTTCCATCCCGACCCTGACTCATGTATATTTGTAATTTGTGTGTCTCTCTCCCACGTGGTCGCGTGGATGTTTCTTTCTCCGGGTCCTCCGGCTTTTCCCTCCACGTGTATAGACCATGCCTTCAGAGGACGTGGCAGCTATTCATTTCCACACGACAAGTAAGTGTCCAGGTCGTTTTTGAAAAAGGACCCATACAGCTCAGTGAGCCTTGTCTGGTGAAATTAAGATAAAGTCGAGATGAGCCGTCGAACCGGAGCACTTACACATGAAGGTCTCGTACCAACTTTCAGATCGCTCCACCAGGCAGCTCGTCCACTCCTCCTCCGAGATCATCTTATTGTCGTCCTTGTCACATGACCTGCCCATGCACACAACAAAGATAAAGACCTTTCGGGGAAAGTGCCGTCAGCGAGCGCCTATGAGGGCCGGCACGGCACTGCGAGGAGGTGGGTGGCCTGTACCACTCCCGGCCGCCTTTGTCTCCCTAGTGGCGATGATTACACCCCGCACCAGGTACTCATTTAATGTCGGTGGTGGGGGGGGGGGCAGCAGAGATTGAAGGGATGTGATACAGGAACGCAGGTGATGCATAGGTGATATGGGATGCAGCATCGATGGAAAAGATGGGAGGGATGAGAATTTGGAAGGAATTGAATGGATGTAAGGGGTTGGAATGCTTGGAGGCGGTAGGGATTGAAGCAATAGGAGGGATGGGGTAGAGGGGGGTTAGGATTGGTGATGGGATGGGAAGGATGAATGGGATGGGATACAAGAGGGTCGTGAGAAAGGATGGGAGGCAGGAGAGATGGAAGAGATGTGTGTGAAGGAGGGATGCGAGGGAGTGAAGGAGGGACGCGAGGGAGTGAAGGAGGGACGCGAGGGAGTGAAGGAGGGACGCGAGCGAGTGAAGGAGGGGTGCGAGGGAGTGAAGGAGGGATGCGAGCAAGTGAAGGAGGGGTGCAAGGGAGTGAAGGAGGGGTGCGAGGGAGTGAAGGAGGGGTGCGAGGGAGTGAAGGAGGGACCCAAGCGAGTGAAGGAGGGAGTGAAGGAGGGACGCGTGGTACCGGAAGAACTGCTCGGCGCAGTGCTCGAGGGGCATGAGGCGGAAGCGGAGGTCCTTGATGTCCCGGCGACTCAGCTCCCCGTCTCCCTCGCGATCCAGCGCCGCAAACTTCCACTGCGATCACGAGGCCCGCAAGCACGGGGGGGAGGGGGGTGGTGGTGGGGGGAAGTTGGGGGGAGGTGGGGGGAAGGAGGTGGGGGGAGGAGGTGGTGGGAGGAGGTGGGTGGAGGAGGTGGGTAGAGGGGCGGTTCTGAAATCCCAATCTTGTTCAAATCGGGCCCTTACCTTTATGTCAAACAAAAACGAATTCAACGCCATTCAACGAAACAGCAGCACGTTTTTTTGTGTTTGCAGGTCTCGAGATATGGGAGCCCCCCCTCCCCACCTCCCCCCCGCCCCCCCGCCCCCACGCTCACCGCGGCGAGCAGCGTGCGCTGCTGCCTGTCGAGCGTCGCCTGCGAGGAGCTGGGGTCGACGGTGCCGAACGCGTCGATCTCCTTGAGGTGCAGGAACCACTCGAGCAGGCGGAAGGGGAACTGGCCGCCCTCGGCGTCCGAGCACGCGCCCTGCCTGGCTGCAAGGGGGGGGGGGGGGGCAGGGGGGGGGGGCACGGGGGGGCCACGGGGGGGGGACCACGGGGGGACCACGGGGGGATCACGGGGGGGCCACGGGTGGACCACCGCGTGCGGACCGCTGTAGTACGGCCTCAGCAGTGGAGATCTTTAGTGCGGACTCTAGAGTAAGAGAGCTATAGGACTGACCCTATAGGAGAGATCTATTATAGAGCACAAGGACAAAGATACCCCCGTATAGCCTGTAACAGACTGTAGGGGCAAGTGCTGTTAAGCGAGCACCTATGAAGGCCGGAACAGCACACGAAGGGGAGGGTGACCAGCACCATGCCCGACCGCCTTTGTCTCCCTAGGGGGCAATGTTTACACATCGCACCATGTACCAATTTTAGGCTGAGTAGACCTAGGGGAGACCCTGGACCAGTTCAGATAATCGTCACTGGTCTTGGCCGTGAGCGGGAATCGATCTCGGTGAGCCAGGTTCGTAGCGCAGTGGGCTAACCGCTACCCTACCGCTCCCCACGTGCACACACACATACACGCACAGACACACACACACACGCAGACACACAGACACACACAAAGACACACAGACACACAGACACACAAACACACACACAGACACACAAACACACACACACACACAGACACACCACAAACACACACACAGACACACAGACACACACACAGATACACACACACACAGATACACAGACACACAGATACACAGACACACACACAGACACACACAGACAGACACACACACACACAGACACACACAGTCACACACAGACACACACACAGACACACAGACACACACACAGACACACACACACAGACACACACACACACACACACAGATACACGCACACACACACACACAGACCACACAGACACACACAGACACACACACAGATACACGCACACACACACACACAGACACACACACAGACACACAGACACACACACAGACACACACACACAGACACACACACACAGACACACACACAGATACACGCACACACACACACAGACACACACACAGACACACAGAAACACACACACAGACACACACACACAACACGCATGCCCCACCTATGCACTCGCCGTAGTAGGAGATGCCGATTCGCCTACGCCTCCTGCACGCCTCCTTGTACAGCAGGCACGCGTTGTCGTACTGCCGCCCGTACGCGCTGCAAACGGGCTTCTGTTCGCTGTACCACGCACGCCACAGCACAGCACATCAACGTACCTGTGTTGAACTTCTTTCAGCATCGTGCGTAGCCAACCGTGCTAATCGGTTGGCTGTGTACCAGACATAAAATAATTCTCACGACGTTTCGGCCACAACGCAAGCAGCCGTCCTCAGGTGTTTAATTTGTATTATTGTATTATTTTATTATTTCCATTCTACGTGACTTTACCGAAAGAACCAAGAAGATGAATCCCTGCAGTCACGAAAGCTTTAAATCGAAATTTCACCCCCAACGAGTGACCACATACAGGAGTCTAACTTACCCGGGGCAAGTCTTAGGACACATGCACTTGGAGATGCGTGTGCCGTTCTCCGTGGTGACCACGTGGCACACGGATCCCGCAGGTTTCCGGCACTTCGTCAGCCGGCACAGCTGCTCTGCACACACCGACAAGACAAAGATCCCCCGTATAGCCTTCACCAGGCTGTTGGGGCAAGTGCTGTGAGCGAGCACCGACGAAGGCTGGCTCAGGACGCGAGGGGGTGGGTGGCCAACACCACGCCCGGTCGCCTTTCTCTCCCCAGCACTGACGTTTACATACCGCAACAGGTACACATTTTTAAGGCTACGTCGACCTAGAGGAGGCCCATGGCCGGTTCAAATATTCGCCGCTGTCATTGGTCGAGAGCGGGAATCAAACTCAGGCAGCTGAGTTCATAGGTCAGTGTGCTACCCACTACACTACCGCTATTTATAAATACACACACACGTGTACCTGCAAGCCTACATAAATGGAAATACTAAGAACAATGATTAATTAGGCTGTGGGATTGTTTGAACATACTTCACCAGGCTGGTCAGTGCCGATCGGTGAAGGTGGGAAGCATAGACCGAGCAGTGGTACCATCCAACAATTAAATTCGCTGCACTGCCCTGTGCTGCCAATGTGTAGCCTCGCAGCAGCCTATAGCAACCCGTCTTATACTCGGTGGTCTGGCAAGATAGTATGCATTGAAAACGATATGGCCATAGGCATAGATGTGTATAAACACATTCCTGCGGAGGGAGCTGGTAGGAACGTTGGGTTGCTAGGTCAATGGCCAGGGTCAACGGCGGCGTGGTGTATTCCGCAAATATGCCCGACTGTGTGGGCGGGCACAAGCCGGCGTGAGTAGGTTAAACGTTGAGTTTTATAAGGGCACCACGGGGTGACCACCCCCTCCCCACCCAGCCCCTCCCCACCCAGCCCCACCCCACCCAGCCCCACCCCTCCCCACCCAGCCCCTCCCCACCCTCCCCACCCAGCCCCTCCACACCCTCCCCTCTCCACCCAGCCCCACCCCTCCCATTTTTGGATGTACGACGGACGGACGGACACAATAATCCCCCACGAGATCCGTGGCCACGGCTGGGAGCGTTTAGATTCGTGAGCCGATGGGTCTCCTGCGAGGTTATCCAAAATTAACGTGAGAAATAGTGCCGAGTTTGAGCGGTTGCCAAGTCAACATCGTTTCTAAGCACGGGGGTGTTTACATGTTTTCAGTTTTACCGTATTGCGCAATACGCCGAGGTGAATAAATGTGTGTTGGGGGGGGGTGTAGCCGTTAGCACGAACCCGGCAACACGAGTTCGATTCCCGTTCACGGCCAAAAACAACAACAGTGGTGATTATCCGAAGCGGTCCTGGGGGCCTCCTCTAAGTCGACTCAGCCTGAAATGCATCACCCGCTGCGGTGTGTGTGCGTGTAAGCATCAGCACTGGGGAGACAAAGGCGGCCGGGCACGGCGTCTGCGTCTGCGTGCGGCGCGGTGAGATTGGCGGTCCCTCCCCAGGAGCCGCCCCAGGTTACCTGGCTCGGTGCGGCCGTAGTACGGCACGAGACGGCCGCCTGCATTGGCGAGGGCACGCTCCCCGTTCGTCTCCCTCCCTGCGGAGCCCTGGCACACAAGGGGGCATGGGGGGGGGGGGTGCCATGGGGATACGGAGCAGTACGCGGTGATGAGGAGGCGTTGCGACGCGGGGACTAAACGGGCATCGCGGTTGCATGGGAACGTGGAGAAGGGGAGGTCGTGGCAGCGCGGGTTTGTCTACGCGCGGTGGCAAAACGAAGTTCAACGCACGTGGAGGCATTGGGACAAGGGGACACGGGGACGTGGGAACACGGGTGGCAAAGGGGACGCAGGGTATGAGGACATGGGGAGCATGGGAACAGGGGGGCATGTGGGTATGGCGAGATGGGAACAGGGGGGCAAGGGGTTGCGTGGACAGAGGGACATGTGGATATGCTCACGTGATAGTGGGTGGCACAAGGGGTTAAACTCAGTTGCGTCTCTCTGGCTCAGCAACAGCACGGGGGGAAAAAAAAAAACATTTTCAAAATGGCACGTGACGCCTACTCCAGTCCAGTCGCGACTTAGAAAATACTCAGTGAGAAATTAATCCCGAGCCGACGCTCAACTTCTGTTAACAGACTCCCCCCCCCCGAGCGAGTGGTGTAAATTCCACATTGCCACAGCAGGGCCCACTCTATCCATGAGACCACGACTGCCTTCTCGAGAAAGTGACACCCATTCTATCGACCGCGGGATTTGAACCCGCCTCTTTATGATTGCGCACGACGCGGTCTCATCACCGCAACACTTGCCTTCCACTAATACATCATCGTCATCATCAGCCATGGTCTATTCACTGCTGGACAACGGCTGCTGGTTACCCAGCCAGCTGCCCAATGTGCCTCGCAGCCCAGATCTGGCACGTGCAACATTTATGTCTTCCATAATACAGGTTGTTTTTTGGGTCAGATCGCGTACATATATAAATGTGTCGTTAAACCCGCCACCACCCAACACAGCCAATTAGTAAGGGTTGTCACGTAAACAGAACGTGCCAATTCGTCACTAGTACAGCATACCGGTGTGTTGGAGAACCAAGCCACAACATTTACAATCTGAGTACGACGTTTCTAAACCCCCAAAAAGCTTGTATTATGGATTATATCGTTAGTGAACGCCTACGTGTTACACATTTTCATCTGTTTGACCCCTTTGTAGGTTGGCCGCACGTGGCCAACATTGTGAAAACGACGCCGCCGCCTGTGCAGGACGATGCCGGCTAACGGTCACGCGACGCTGATGAATCCGTTCGCCGTGACGGATCACTGGCCCTGGTTTCCACGTTGGCAACGGGCGGACGGAAAATAATTGAGGCTATTCTGAGGACCGGCCAAATGTTTATGTCATTTCCATGAATCAATGCTTAATATTGTCATCATCACTACAAAATAACCTAGCACGCGTCGTCATTGTCCACACTCATCCCCGTCTCGACTCACTAGCCTGTCTCCGTGCTCTCAACTGGCTACCCATCGCCAGTAGGGTCACATACAAGACCGCCTGCCTCTGCCAGAATGCCTTTACATCCGCCTGCCCGCCGTACCTTTCTTCATTATTGACAACTTGCAGCTCAGCACACGGCAGATGCCTGCGCAGCGCGACTCACGACCTCCTCTTGATACCAAGATCCAGGATGGTCACGTCTATGCGCCGCTTCTCGGTAGCAGCCCCAACAGTCTGGAACGTAATCCCTCTGCACATTCGCAGCATCACCTCAATCGACTCCTTCAAGAGAGACTTAAAAACTCACCTCTACAATCATGCTTTAGAGCGACTCTGAGCTTGGCTCCGCGCCTCTGAGTTGCGGCCACTACGTCTGCAAATTTGCGCGCGTTACAAATTGAACTACTGTCATCATCATCATCATTTCGGCCATGGTCAATCCACTGCTAGATGAAAACCTCCCCCATGCTATCGTCATCCGATGCCACAACCCATCTCACTCCGGCTCACAAAACTGATTTCATCGCTCCATCTCGGCGGTGGTTGCGCTCGTGGGTGTATTCCCTGCTCCGGCTGCAATTCCATCACCGGTTCCGTCCGTCGGTAATCATCCCTAATAAGTGCCACGGTGGCTAGGAGATGTTAACTTCCTTGCCCGGTATACAGCAGAAATGGGTTCGATCCCGACGCTGACGCCTGCTGCTGTATATTTGGAGATTGCACGTTCTCCCCATGGTGGTGTGGATTTTTCTCCGGGTCCTCTGGTTTTTTCTCTCCATATCAAAAAAAAGCATGCGTTCAGAGTATGTGGCTGCGGTACATTTCCACGCGATAGGCCACTTCGTTGATCTATCATTTGTTATAGCTAGGCCGCTTCTGAAACAGATCTGTGTAGCACCGTGGGCGTTACCTGGTAAAATAAAAATACTATTAGTAGTTTTGACCGTATGTGAAACTGATTGGTTCACACCAGAGACAGCTTTCTTTAGAGCCTAGTCTCAAACAGTTAACACTGTTTGACAGTGAACAATGTTTGAGACTAGGCTCTAAAGAAAGCTGTCTGGTGTGGCCCATCAGTTTCAAAGACAATGCACATACTGTCAGAGCATGATTTTTTGTTTGCATGTTCACCACAAGTATATGTGGGTAATGCAGTGAAATTATTCCTTGCAAAGGTTTCAGTTTGGTGTTTTAACATCTCAACACACTGTTTTATTGCCAGAAAGGGGAAAACCCTATTATCATAACATCACGTCGGTTCGAGGGAGTGGGAGGGGATTTAAGAAATCTGGACCGTTGTTACAACTTCCGCGCCGGGAGTTTGAATCAATGTCAGCAACCTCTTGACTGCAAGTCCACGCCGTGCAAACCATCACAGCACGGACGCACGCAATAGCCCCACAGCATGTCACGCGGAGTAGCAAAAACAATTTTAATAAAACCGCAATGGGCACAAGAAGTCGGTCCCGCTAATTTTACCCACACCGTCCACACAAGGCAAAGGGGCTTACAAGGGATCGAGAGATTTGAAAGCCAGCTGGGCACAGCGTCAGCTAAGGGTTTGTGTGGCTGTAACGAGATATCACGTGGCATCACAAGGCAGCTTTCTTTCCCACACCCTCCCAGCTTCCCCCCTTCGCCTCCCCTCCGCTCGTTTAATTCCTGTTATGCTATCGGCTGAATGTCATGAAATACATAATCCATTGGGAATGATCGCAGGGATGTGCTTCGCCCACCACCCCCCAGCATCCCCCCAGCTAACCCCCCTCAGCTTGTCCCCCCCCCCCTACCACCCCCACCCCCCCGCGTGGCAGACAGCGGTTAACGCTTCACACGATTTACCCAGTCAACATCTTTTAAGTGGCCTTGTTATTCTCCACGCAGCAGAATGCAGCCACACACTTCCCGCACACTCCGCTCTGGGATGGCTCGTTTGTTGCGCGGCGGTCAGAACTCACGGCGGTAACATCTCAGAGCTGAAATTTGGCCACGTTAAGTGCAAAAAACGAAATGTGGCGTCATGCATGGGCTTATGGATTTTGGTTTGTTTTGGTGCAGTCATTGATGTCTCCAGGCTGAGACCATCAACTTTCTAACACGTGGTTGAAAATTAGTTGTTTTATTATTTAATGTGATTAAACAAATCCTTGTATTTCAAAAAAAAAAACATTTATGCTATTATTATCATCATCATCATCTAAAATCCACCAAGTTCGCACTGAATTTACTTTGTACAAAATAAAATTCCGCCCTTTTAGTACCTATCAGTGCTAAGAATTTTGGAGGTTGTGACTGGAATGTGGCCGGGAAATGTTGTTAAATGTCATTGTGAAGAAGAGGTTCTGAAAGTACGTATGTACCGATGTAGAACTTCTTTCCCACCGTACGTAGCCGACCGTGCTAATCAGAGGCGTGTGGGAAGGACAACAAACTGAACACACAAAGCAGTTCTAAACAAAATGGGTTTTCAACCTCGATTCAAAAGTGCACAGATCCAGTAGCTTCCTACTATCTGAAGAAAGAACGTTCCAGACGGCCGCCGAAGCGCATCAAAGCGATGCGGTGACCGCCGCCTTTGTTTGATGGACAGTCAAAAGCCGCTGTGAGGATGACCGGATTTCGCGTGATGGTTTATGGTTCTTGACGAGATGAGCGACGTACTGTGGTTTATTTGTAGTGGGTGGTGGGGGGGCGCTATAGCGGAGGATTGGGTAAACAGCTTGCAAGTTGGGTATAGAATGTGACAGTAAAACTAAAGGTACACTCATGAAGAGGAGGTGCCGCTGGGTGGGACACGTGGTGCAGGGAGGATGGAGGAAGGATGAGGGAGGAGGGATGAGGAGGAAGTCACCAAATTGGGCATTGGAGTAGCATCCAGAGTCCAGTGACCAAGGGGAAGACCTAAACCGAGACGGTGCTGATGGATGAATGAACCTCAGAGGTCAGCTTTGCAACAGCTGTGGGCTCGAGCGTGATGGACGGAATCGATGGGCAGGTTATGGTGGCGTCCACAGCATTCAGGGCGTGAGTCACAACGACCTCCTGACCTTTTTGCCACGCAAAAGATGCGACCGCAAAAAGTCGATGAAACCGACGCAGGCCACTCCGTCACTTTTTAGCAACGCAAAAACCCCTCCACGATCGGAGTTGGCGCTCAAGGGATCGATGTGTGGATAGATGAGGAACGGGGAAGGGTCGTGTAGGAAGATAATTGCGGGGGCGGGGATGGATGGATGGAGAGGTTAGGAGAAAGTGAGGGGTAGTGAGAGAGATGGGGTGGATGGGGAGAGAGGAGTGAGAGGTGGGAGTGAAATGGAGAGGGGTGTGTGTGTAGAGAGATAGTGGTGGGGGCGATGGAGTGATTGTAGTTATGGAGGGGGCATGACGAGCTTGGTTGGTATGGGGGGCCCACACGTAGCCCTGGTGTGTGGAGGCACGGGCTTTCGACAGCTGTTGGTAGTCCAGCGAATGGCAACGTGAAAATTGAAATCTGATCGAGCGCAGAAAATAAACAGCGGAGAGAATCCCGCAGCCGCCTCGCGGACCAGAGAGAGAGACAGATAGAACGACGCGAACAACCGTCCTGCCTACGCCGTACGGAT